AACCAATGTAAGGGATACAACTTTGTACACAAAATCTGGACACTCTTTTAAATGTAGATTTACACTTTATCTACTTTATATAAGGGTGTTTATATACAGCTAGGAAAAGAATACCATTCAAATTTCATAATATCCATTGATATTTTATTCCCACGCTGCGTCTTTTATAAAGATACTCTACCGTATAATGAGTGTACCATTATGTTAATGAAGAAAGTAGAGGTCCTTTTCGTGTGATGGAATTTGTAGGATTCGTACAAAGCTTGGATGAATGACCTCTACTTCTTATCGGTGTCTCTCAAACAGGCCAGCAAGAAGCCTAATTGATCCTCTTCCTTTTTGACATTGAATTGGGTCATATAAACAATGCTGGCTTAAGCTTTTATAATCATGCTCCGCTCTCTCTCCAGTCCTGGCTTCATACAGTAATCGATTTACAGAATTAGCAGTTGCCATTTTAGCCTAGTTTTGAGGAGAACTGGCTAGACCTTGGATGTTGGTGGAGAAGGGTCATGAGGTCAATCTGGACAATTCAGAGGACCCTGGCTTCAATTAGTTTTCTTTCTCTTTGGAGTTGACATCATTAAGAGTTTCACTTATACTTCTTTTATACTAGACCTAAATTTGTTTGGGCACTTCTGAAGTGCCCTAGTAGACTGGCCTGTGTTGTTTTAAACTGTGCTGCAATTTTAAACTGCATTTGAAGTTGTCTAAGGGTGCGTTTAAGCTCAATTTTGAAGGCAGATAGCGATTTGAAACGTTCATCGTAAACGCTCATCGTAATCGCAGTTCCACGGTATACTGTTTATGCTCACTTCTCTGGCTCCTCCAGGCAATTCTCGCTGGGTGGCCTTGCAGCTGGATTCGCAAACCTGCACTGTGCATGCTTTGTAGACCCACAAGAGGTCAGTGCATTGACCCCATTTAAACGCGTTTACAAATGATTGTGCGTTTATGCTTTTGCAGAATCACCGATCGTAAACGCACCTTTGTGATCGTGATCGCCATTTTTCGGTGATTCTACAAAAATTAGAAAGGACGCAACCGTGTTTTGAACTAATTGCGTAACAGATGCCTGATTCTGGCCAGAAAAAGTTGAGCATAAACATACCCTTAGACTGAGGGTAGTCATTTTATACTGCCCTTTCAACTGCCAAAGGTGTGTGCGAAACTACGCCTGTTGCTACACACATGGATAACCTGGTAGTGACTTCAAATTTTAAATTTATGGTTCATTTAATCCAGAGTGGCCTGGACACTCAGCGATGTTTTATGCTGAGGAACTTCTAAAGTGGCCCTGAGACACCTCTTAGAGCATCCTTCCTGTAGTGCACCCTTATTTATAAAAACAAAATTTAAAACATTTTTTACACTGGAAGTAAGGTCACTTCAGGGGCCCCTTTCATATGCTCCAACTCTACGTATGAAAGGGGTATGAGACGAATGAGATGAAGTTCTTATCTCCCCTCATGAGGAGGGAGGAGGAGGGGGAAGGAGGGGAGGGGATGTCATTCTACTTGGAACCTAGATTAATTAGGGCTTACTCTAATTGGTATAAAGATAAAGCTTAGATTGGTGTTAACCCAAATTGTTGAACCAAAGACTTAGCTTGGATAATCAGATATTACTTTTCATGACTTATCCATCTCCTTTAAATGACCCATTTTGCCTCAAGATAAGGATGTACCGTAAGAAAAAAAACACCATGATTCCTGAGGCCTGGCAGTTTATGAAGATGAGAAACTGAGTTTAAGAATGGGGCTAATCCCTCACCCCTGTGGAAAGGTCACCTGAAATCATACCACTGCTATAGTAAATGGAGACAACCTGCATGGTAGCTTCAAAGAACTTGTCGGAAATGAAAAATGAAATGGATTAATTAAATATCAAAGGAAAGCTTATGAGCCATAGATTACAGCAATATCAATTATATGCTATTTTAGTGTTTGTCAGAGGAGTATTAGCTCTCTGAAAACTTTAAATCTTAAGCTAGACGAAAATCGGCAGTTGTACGTCGACCTGAATATTAGCTATCGAAATGATGATGTCATCTTATGCGTAGTACGCATATTCACAATGACTTTGCATTGATTAGACATGGCTCATCGCCTCAGCTATATAGGCGAACCGATCTAGTCTACATGTTATGACGTCACCTTTACTGCAGCAAATTTGACCCCTGTTAACCCTTAATGTGGAGGGATGCAGAAAATATTTTTAGTATACGTTTATTCGACTTTCCATTGATATTAAGTTTTATTTTCATCAAATAGGATCTTTCATTTTTTTTCCTCAACATGACTGCAGAGACTACTTTAAAGAGATCCGGTAACTTTGACTCAGATTCTGAAACAAAATTCTGGATTTAGCTCATGATGCTATGATAATTATAAACCTTTAGGTCAGTCAGGAACCCCCCATGACTTTTCCAAGCCGACCGCCTGTCTGATTATCAAGATATTTATGATTGGAATTACAAATGTTGAAAACCGTTTGCCAAACGGTTTTGATAACACTACAGTCCATTGGGGAAAACGAGTATGGTAAAACTGGTCACTCAAAGATTTTTTTACTTTTTTGAGGCACTTCTTGATCATTTTGAAGCGCAATTTTTTTAGGGCTTCAATATTACACCATATCACAGACACTGATAACACGTAGGGCCGTGTATCTCAGATTTAACATTGTTAAACGATCCCTATTATAATCTGCTAATAATCCGATTACATTGCTTGTTGGGAGCCAGAAGGGAATCAATAATGTATAAAAGGTAACGAATTCATGCCTTTCTGTCTTTTAAGAGCTGATATAACAATTTATTGTAAGTTTGACATATTCCAGTAGGCAATCTGCTGAGATAGCAGACAGCATGATAAAAGATTCATGGACATGTTTGTGTTTGTGATATTTATAATGCTAGAAGTATCGCTCTGCGATTTGGTTTTGTTGCTGGAAAATGTGTGATGGCTACAGTGCTTGATGTGAAACTTATCTATACAATATTAAATGTGTGTTGTACATTCCAATGAAAGAATAAACCCTTCTAAAGCCTCTCTGCCGACCTCGTTAGGGCGTCATATCCTCATTAAGGCGTCATTGATATGACGCTTCCTTTCTTTAATGCCTCCTTTGTTTCATAAAGCTTCCCGTAAAGCGATATTTGATATTTGGGAGCACGAGATAAAAATCAAAATATGCTCGTCCCCATCTGTTGGGACCAGCGAAAATGAAGATGCGATCAGATGTGTTGCTGCCCTTGAGCAAGGCTTCCATGCCTGGGAGGCATTCCTTCCCGGCCGGCCGACCGGCCAGCCTGCTGAGGGGTGCTTCGATCAGATCGATGCTTGTCGGTGGCTGCACCCATGTCAATGAATCTTCAGATGAATATGAATCCCATTATTTCAGTCTTTGAAGTGGTTTGTTTAATAGCCACCATGTAGGGCAAAACTGTCATGGTGGGCGTTAGATGTCTTAACATATGTTTACCAATTACAAAGAAAAAAAATAAAAATAAGCACAACTTACATCATGTATGTGCTGTAAGTCTTTGCTTAGAGGATTCAAATTCAAAGAAAGTCAAATATTTGTTCATGAAATATGTGTACACTCTCCTTTTTTATTTATTTTGTAGGCTCTGTCTTTTTATGTGTAGAATAAAAATGTATTAGCTTTTAGACAATTTATGACGAGTGGTTTATCTTACAGGTACTTCAAAAGTATTTGTAAGGATATGGGCTAAATAAATACACTCGATAATTCACTTGATATTTTTTTTTTTTGGGGGGGGGGGGGGGGGGGTAATCATATTTCCGATGTATATCTCTGTATTCACATTCCATCATTTTTGTCATGATTTTTTTCTTTTGTCTTAGGCACCTTAGCCTCTTTTCCTGCACAGTGTGTGTACTCTCTCTCTCTCTCTCTGTATCTCTTTGTCTTTCTCTTTCACCCTCTCTCTCACTGCCTGTCTATCTATTCTATCACTGTCTCTCTGTCTGTCTAATCCTCTCTCTCTCTCTGTCTCTTATTTATATAACATTACATTTTAGTTCATCTTTGTAAATATAGTTGTTTTTCAGAAGGTGAGGAAGAAAAAGACAATGATAAAAAAAATAGATGAAGTTTAATGAGAAGAGGAGGGAATATATAGATAAAGATGAAGTTAAATAGGAGGAAGGAGATTAAGACGAAGAGGGAGAAGAAAAAAGAGGAGCAAAGAGGAGGAAAAGGAGGAGGAAGAAAAAGAAAAAAATGGAAGAGGAATGAAAAGTGAGTAAGAGGAAGAGGAGAAGGATAAGGGCAATGGTACTGTTAACAAATTTAATGTGTCTCTAGAGATGAAAGATGTCACTTCAGATATTTAAATGAAAAATAAATGAAATGTTATCATTCATTTTCGGATTACTCTCATTCATCTTGTCTCATCCAACCCATTCTCAGCGTCAACATGGAATCATGTTTCCATATAATATTACAAGATGCTTTTTGTAAGATATCACATGTGATGAAAATTTATGAGCCCTTACTTTCTTTATGAGAAATAGATTAAATTTAGAGAGAAAAACATCAGGTATGAATTTTTATGTGTTATCCATAGTCTTCAGCCCCCCCCCCCCTGAAGAAACTACTTCATAATATTTTTCAACGCTTTAATTCATAAACTTTTTCATGAACCAACAAATCCATATATTTGCATTTGATGGTTCAGAATGTAATAATAATTAAATTGTAAACAAATTATGACCAAAAGGCGTGCTATTTGATAGAAATGTTGACTTATGTATCTTTTTTCATAGGTCGAATTAAAAGAGAGACCACTTGGAAATGATGCAACAAGGAAATAATGATTTCGCTCTTGAAGATGAGAGATTTTGTTGTTGTAAATGATGTTTACTTTCATCATCACAACCATTATGTATCAGCTATTACACTTCACCTCTAAGTTGTGTGTTTTGTTTTAGACTCACGTAGACAGACTTTTACTAGAAACAAAGCAGGGGTATGTATTGAAATGAATTGAGAAGTTTATTTATTTGACATGGTGGAAATCTACATGAGATAAATAGCTACATATGGGAGAATAGTGGAATGAATGGCATACAAATGTCAACAAAATTTCAAAAATGATGTTGTGTGACAATATCACACATTATTAACAAAAATATATACTCTGACAGTCTAAGTTAAAACTTAATAAAACTCTTAATATACACATGCATTTCCTATCCCTTACTAATAATTTCATTTTATCTGTGGACAATGATCATGAAAGATGTGGGTGTTCATGACATCATCACTTCTATGTCTTTGCATGTCCGGTCAGATGGTTGTAACTGTGCTCACTCGAAGGTTACCACAATCAAACATTCACACTTTCATGCCAAAACTGGCTGTAATATTATCTTTCAAATTAGAATTACTGATAACTAATAGTGAATCTTCCTGTCCTTGAAGATATTTAATGTCAAACTTATGTAGACATAGAAAAGTTAATCTGCTTGATTAAAGAAACAATTTCAGAATTTGTGATTAAATGATGTCAGAAATATATTTGATTATTATCCATGAAACTTAACAGACCATCAACAAAACGAAAATTATTTCAGTTCTTTGAATCGGGTACCTTAATATACTTGCTCAAAATGGACAGTATTTTTTATTAGGTACTTTACTTAGCTTACAAAACCCTCACATAGATAATGAGAGCTAGAGAGGTATAACAGCTTTAAAAAGTTTGTGAACTTATACCCTTCTGGTTCCCATAGATCTGTGAGAAAATCTTTTCTATCTAAGACCCAATTCTCACTCCAATGCAGTAGTTTGCTCCAGCCAGACACTTTGTTTCCCTTCTCACTAAGAATGGTTTTTGTGTGGGTTTTTTTCCTCGAAACTTTGGAACGTCATTGGGAGCAAAACACCCTACTGGACTACAAACCACATGCAATCCAGCAATTTGATGCAGATTTGTGCTTGTAGACCGCAGTCCAACTGAGACTGCCTCTGCATAGCGAGTGAGAATTGGGTCGCACAGAGCATCAGAAAACATTTTCCATTTTGTAGCCTTTCGTCGGTACAAAACATGTATTTCAGTAAGCACTATTGATCAGGTCATCTTTGTATCAAAGCAGACTCTTGCAAAGATATCCAATTACTTCAAGCTTGGTGACCACACTTGAGAACTAGTTATTAAGAAAGGATTGCTTATTGCAATGCCAGTTTTGATGCATAGCCAAAGAGATCGACGATAACGTGCTTGTCACTGAAAATGACAAAGTCAACAGCATTACTGGTATACTGCTTCGCCAATAAAAACAGGGATATTCAAACTCCTTATAATCTTCATACATATCCATCAAAAAATATAAACAAAAATGTTTATTACCTTTAAAATAATGGACTACTAATGTGTGATAAAGCTTAAAGCTCAAGATGTATAAATGAAAATTGAAGGTATCAGTCATGAATGAATATTTCTAGAGCAACTCTGTATTTACATAATGTTGATAGGTTACTTTTTTATACAAATATTACAAAGAAATTCACAATGGACAAATTGTGAAATTGAGAAAATTAGATTACGTGCAATATCTAGTAAAAGGTGCTTAAATATCTAACTAGAAATAAAGTTAGGAAAATCATAACCAACCACCTCTAGCAAAATCTCAAATTAATCTACACTTATAGAAAATTTAGGATGTGAAGAAATGATAGAAGGGAAGTGAATGTCGTCTAAAGTTGAAAGTAGAGAATGAAAGTGCAGGTAGATGGAGGTGAAGGAGAATAACAGTTGTCAACCCCCAACAAATTGTCTTTTTCATGAAAGTTACGTGGAAGAAAGTGAAAATGATGCCCCAAACTGTGCAGACTATTGAAAAATGGGAGAGAACTGAAATACACCTGTTTGAAAAAAGATTAAAGAATGTTTTTTATCATCTGCTTTTTTTGGTGAGGGATGGATGAAGTATGATTTTTCTTCTTCTATTAACGTCCGCTGTGGAGATACTTGTGGCAGGCGTTGTATGCTCGTGCCTGGCTGGGGTCTCTTCCCGCGCTTTGGCATCCGTAGATACACTCCGGCATCGTCATTTGGGTGTTTTTGGAGCAGGCCAGACATGTGTAGATGCAACTTTTCTGCAACATGGGGCTTCTCTTTACTGCTGAGTCATCCTTGAAGTTGAAGACGGGGTCCATGAGGTCCATTGCATCTTCGTCAAAGTAAGGGGCGGGGGCGGCCGGGATAAGCTCTGCTGTTAGGAGGAGCAGGCCCATGACTACCAGGATGAGGGAATTCATCTGGGAGAAACAAAAAAAGAACGGTGTAAATATCTGTGGTGATAATCTAGATACAGGATTGATGTAGCAAGAGAAAATATACTTCAAGGGGGTTGAATTTACATGATCTCAACAATAATATCTAATATAAAGCTATTTGTGATATGAAAGTCAGAGTGTCCAGATGAGATCTATATATACTTTTTTGATGGTAGCTACTCACATTTTTAGAGCTACTTTACCAGTACTTATTTGCAGCTCTACTTCACAAGCATTTTTGGTATTATCCTTCAAAATTTGGGTGATAAACATATCAACCTTTTTGTCAGCTGTGATTGATACATTTTGATAGAAGGGTTTATGAATATTGTAAGATTATTTTTTATCTCACTGTATGGAAGAGGGTGAGTTGCTTTATAGCAGTGCCATCCCTCGAAATACCCCAGTCCCCTGCCCCTGCCCCCTTCCCCCATCCTCCATGAGCCCCTGAAATGATAGCTCTTGGTGATGGAGAGAATTACATAATGAATGCATCATTTGTCCTCAACAGAATTTTTGCCGAGAGCTAGAAGGTGTTCATTCATTTGGCACAGAATTAATGCCCTTTTGGCTTAGCCGAAGCTTTCTGTTTGGAGTGTATGTGTACAGCACGGGACATTGTTTTGTACGGGATAATTTTATCAGGGCAAAAAAGTAAATAGTTTGCTGATGTTACACTTACCTTTATGGATGCTTTTTCACGTTGCTTTCTCAAATTGGAGTATTGTTTGGTACGAGGATGTAGTTATTTGTCAAATTCTAATGCAAAAGAGAAAAGAGAATGGAGAAATAAATAAGTACTCATATCCCAACAAGATTCCAAACTATGCTTTTATGGTCATTGGACAGAACAATCACTTTGCTGCAAGAAGTGATTTGCAGTGTGTCAAATTCATAGAAATCCGCGAAAAAAATATCCAGTAAAACCAAATTTCAACACCATAGAAAAAATGAGAATGTTTATTGTAATGTGATCATCACAACACCATAAACCAATCTCTGCATCATATCACACCAGTTAAATTGGACAATTTCAAGACAAGTCCTCAGAGCTTCATTTTTCAGAGGAGACGCAATTTCTAGACCAATTTGTAACGCTTAATGCTGCCGATCATATCCAATCACTGGGTTTTTTGTGTGGGCAGGATCGACGGCCATGCATATATCATATCAAAATTGGATTACAAATCAAATCATCAGCCAACTCTCCGAGCGCAAAAGTGTTATTTCTTCATCCTTTCACCAAGGAAAAGGATGCTTCTCTTTTGCGCACTCACATTTTCATTATAATTTCCCCTTCTCGTATTCCTTGCCTATTTTTGGTTGGTTTTTGTCGTTGACTTCAAACGGAGAGCCGAATTATGATGGCTTGTGAGGATTTTATGAGAACATGTGTCATTTCTGAGAAAGAATTATTAACAAGTAAAGCTGTGGTGACATTTGATGGTGACTTCATTTGACCTGTTTCAGGATTCATGTAATTCAATATCTGTTTTGTAGAAATGGAGAAGAATAGTAAGGGAATTTTGTTGTTGTTGAGAAAAGTGCAGTGATAATACATGCATTAATACTAGGGAAGACCGCTTGCATGCATGTAAAGATTTAGTTTCCAAACTTTAAAAAGAGTACTAAATTAATATTAAGAGAAGAAGAGAAAATGTATATATCCTGTATATTATGATTATATCTGTCATTCATTGGTGTTTTATCCAGTCTAGGATGGTCTCAGTGGGTGTACTTTCAAAAAAGATGTTCTCTATTAAAGTGTCTTATCAAACAGAGAGTCTCATCCTTGCGTCCAATTGGAGGCAGATTTTTGGCTCACATCATGGAGAATTGGGTTTATTTCTTCCTCCTACCCCCTCACTTTCCTGCATCCATTCTGTAACACATATGTACAGTACAACTGGCCTACAGTCTAATGGGTTAGGACCTCTTAAGAGGTGTAACTCAATGCCAACTTATGTTGCATATTCCCCCCTTACAGTGCTCATAGTTCTCATGCCTTTTAGGAAGCCCACTGTCTGACTACATGCTCTAGTATACTAAAACTAGTACCAGAATGTTAGGATGATTGAGAAGCACATAAACATGTTCACATTTTATACTCGTGATTGATGCGGAACATTCACTGCAAGAGCCAAAATCAAATTTCTAGCCCATTTCCAAATTGATTCGCATTAGATGAGAAAACATGTATTTTTAGATATACTGTTCATTTTCAGGCCCCGAACCCTGTGCGTTAGCAATACTTTTCATATCAAGCCAGTACTTAATGCCAGAATTCCCAAATTTCCCGCCGAGAAACAAATCCATGACTCTTTATGAAAGCACCGACAATGGCACTTTATGCCATCTCACCATCAGACTTTATTGAGTGGAAAAGCTATGTATGTATTTTACAAGTCTTTTAAGTTGCGAAATCATCAGAATAGGTCATAGAGGGTTTCTCTTATTTTGGTTGGTTTTTTAACCTAGATTGTGCAATCGAGAATCATTACCAGAGTTTTGATACAAGCCAATAATGTTCCTCATAAATTGCTCAATATTGCAGAAGGAGGGTGCTGTAAAGGGTCAGATTGGAAAGTGGTTGTAAAACAAACTTTAGTATGAAAAGTTTAGCGTGGATTTCATTGGATTCTGTGACTAACAAAGAAATCAGGTTTTCATTTTAGATTCATATTGTATGTTATAACAACATTTTGTGTGGTTCAAGAATGTCTCTGTCTTTCTTAAAATGATCTAGGGCTTTTGCTCTGGAGTCTTGTGGACTGCTTTTTGTCTTACTAATGATTCTTCCAGACAAATAAAAGCAATGAAAAACATAACAAAATATTGTTGAGGTATATCATTAATAACTATGACTTAGGGATAAAGAGATAGAAACAGGTTGTCTGTGATAAGTTACCATGGAAAAGAAAGAATATGCACCTGCAACAACTGTACACTATTTCAAAATGAAACCTAATTTCTGGCTACCCGCACTGACAAACTCTGCCTTCATATTTGCCCGATCTTTTTCAGACGGAAGTTCTGAAAAGAAAAAGCAATATCTTAGAAGCCGCCATTACCTGCCGTGTCATTGAATATACGGGATATCGGAGGATACCTATGTTTACAGAAGTCAGTCCAATTACTTTAGAGATCAGGGAGATGTTAAAAGAGATACCAAATGCCTTGTGCTCAAGGCATGGGCTATAAAGTTTTTTAATCATAGGAATAAGATCTATAAAAAAAAAACGTGCCTTGTGTTATGATGAAGCTAATGTACACTTAGGAAGAAAGGAAGTGTGGGTAGATCTTTTGTTTCATGCGTTTCTTTTTCAGTTATGATTGAAGAGGTATGGGAAGTATTAATCTCAGGCTTCTGATAGTACTTACAACTTATGGATAGGAAAAGTAAAATTTTTGAGGAAATTGCTTTTTATTTATTTTTGTACATTTTTTTCTTCTGACTTAACTCTCGAAGACTTGAATGCTCTAGTCCTTGCACTTTTCAGATTGCCATACCACAATATGAATATGAACAGATATATATATTTCCTATTAAATTTTGTTTTTAATACAGAGTCTTGATAATTCAATTTCTAATTAATATGAATAAAAACAAATTAATATGTTTCAAGATGTTTTTTTCTTCATAATATTTAATCACTCACTACTCTTTATAAAGAAACTTTTTCAATTGTTTTACTGTAATTTCTTTTTTAGAAGAACTGCAGTCATGCTTTTGTGGGTTTATAACTGTGAATGTTGCTAACAGAATAACAATGAAATTAACAAAACAATGTAAATGAATGCAAGAGTACTGAACGTATTAAATACAATTTAAAGCGTGTTGCGTCAGAATGTGAGCTTAGATAATTTTCAAGATAGTTTGATTGAAATGCATGGTAGTAAAGCTGTTGATAGATTGATGAAATTCTCAGCATCTTATAATAGCTCTTGGATGGAACCCTTGCTCTCTGTCCATTCTTAGGATTGACCCAACATTCTTATTATATACACCACCTGAACTCCAAATATTCAAACATTCATCGAGTCTCAGATGTGTTTAGTCTCTTATCACATGCCAAGCGTGAAATTACGCAGGATACATAACGATGAGCAGTGGTCACTCTAGCATTTGATACTGTGTCTGTTTTTCTCCGAGACACATACATGATCGATCAAGTACATACAGTAAACAGAGACTTGAGTGTAAATTGCGTGCTGAGAGCCAGAAGGGCGTTATACTTCATATACAGTCATTCATTGAGTTAATACCCTTCAAGCTCTTAAACAACATCAGGTGTATTCCTATTCAACATTAAACAGTGAAACCTGTCTATAAAGACCACCCAAGGGAGACAAGAAAAGTTGTCTTTATAGACAGGTGGTCTTTATGAATGGGTGCCTATAGTACATGTTTCAATGAGAAACCATTTTTAAGGGAAACTAAATATGTGGTCTTTGTAGATAGATGGTCTTTGTAGACAGGTGGTCACTAAACCAGGTTTGACTGTATATGCAATTATATTAACATGTAGAATTATATCAGTGTAGTTCAAAGAGAAAGAAAGAAGGGAAACTAGGATATAGTTAGAACGGTAATGGGGGTAGATAAAGAAAAAGGGAGGGAGAGAGAGCAAAAGATAGATAAATTGATAGATAGAAAGAGAGAGAGAGGGGGGGGGGGAGAGAATTAAGAAAGAATAAGATCTCATTTACTGTGTTCATATCAGGAGTAGATAAAGAGGGAGGGAGTGAGAGAGAGAGAGAGCAAGAAAGCAAGAGAAAGATAGAAAGAGAGAGAGAGAGAGAGAGTGGGGGAGAGAAGGGGAAGAAAAGGTAAGGGATAGGTTATTAGGGAGGAGGGAAAATGGAGAAACAAACAATTCCTAATTTAGCTACGAACATGAGACATTATTACATTACAAATCAGGTGAATACCAGAAGTTTATAAGCACATTGTGTACAAGAAAGTGAGCTGCTCTTGCTGCTTATACTTGTTTGTAAACTTTTGTCAACTAAAAGGACTGATGTAATGTTTGATCAAAGTAGCATGTTGATACTAGCGTGATGATGTGACGACAAGACATTTTAAAACACCTTATCTCGTGATGTTGTCATTAAAGTGAGCAGTTAGCTTACGTTGTGTGACGTCAACCGAATGTTTTCACAAGGTTGCCTCGTTGCATCCCTAAACTTGTTCCTTCATCCACCGCTCAAGTCCCCGTGCTTTATCGTCCCTCCATATCAGGTGGTAATCTACCAGAAAACATCCACAACTGGGGGTTTCCTAATCGCAGCACCGCAACACATGAGGGATGCGTTAACTACCCATGTAAAACACATTTCTCCGCTTGCCCACTTTGCTTTATTTCCTCGGAGAGGTCGTGTTCACACTCGCCTCTCAGTCTGAACAGGGTTGGCCTAATCAGGTTAAACCATGCCCTTGCATAGTCATGGGGCCCAACACACTTCCGTAATTCTTCAATTTTGACGGTTAGGGAGAGGGCTTTCCCTAAAGTGCTGTGCTTGCCTGGCCCACGACCAAGTCTAATGAAGATGAAGTTAATGAAACAAAAACATGAGATGGAGGGGGGTAGGCTGTCAGGCGAGACATGGTATGAAAAGGATGTTTCCATCCACAAATGCATCGTGAGCAAACAGCTGTGATGTTGCACTTAAATGATTTTGAAACACCTCATTTATTTCCCTTTGGCGTGGAGACTCTCCTGTGTGTTTCATTTATTATCCATTTAGTTTAAGAGAAACGTGTTAGACATCAGTTTGATCAAATTG